GGATCTAAAAAGATCTCAATAGGTTAAAATGATGAGCCAAATCTAACAAGAAGAAGTCTGATAGGGACAAATATAATGCCCTATTCTTGGGTTCAAAAAATCAACCGAGTAAGTACAGGATTGGAAAAGGTATGGCTAGACAATTGGTTTGTCTGAAAGCGATCCTGGGGATTCCAAGGTCAATATCAGTCAACAGAGGCACATAGCAGCCAAAAAATCTAACCCAAGCTGAGACTGAATTCAGAGAAGTATAATGCCCAATACAAGGGACATAATAGGTAGGCTATAGTTCTGCATGGATAGACCATGTCTAGAGTATTGTACTCAGTTTTGTGTGCTGCATTTTAGGAAGTATATTGATTAGTTAGAACAGAGTTGTTAAACATGCAGCCTGCAGGCCTACAACAGTACTGAGTGTGGTCTGAATTAGATTAAAATGGAATTGGGAAATATTTAATGAAATACCTAAAAATATAGTAAAATATAGATAATGTTAACATGTGGTTTTTTAAATCAAGATGTGCCCATGAGGATCCTTATGTATGGTTTAGTGACTTTTATTTCTATTTGAGTTTGATACCACTGAATCAGTGTCCTAATGAAGTTAACCAGAATGGTAGGGTGATTGGAGACTGCGCCATTAAACAACTGGTTGAAAGAATTGGGGATGTTCAGCTTGTAGCAGAGAAAGCTCAGGGGAGACATGATAGCTGAGTGCTTGAAGGGCTGTCACTTGGAGGAGAAATTAGACTTGTTATGCTTAGCTCCAGAGATTAGCATTATGATCAGTGGGTGGAAATTGCTGAGAAGCAAATTTCAATTTGATGTAAGGAAAATTTTTCTAACCATTAGAGCTTTTCAAAAGTAGAATGGGGTGCTTGGGAGGTAATGAGCTCCCTTTCAATGGAGGTCTTCAAGTGGAAAGGTTGGTTTTCTACTCGTTAGGGATGTCATATAAGGACTTCCTGTTCATGTACAGGTTGGACTAGATGCCTTGGGAGATCCCTTTCAACCCCAAGATTCTGTGAGATCAGGAGGTCAAGCCACATATGACAAATGAGGAAACTGAGGTTCACAGCAGTAAAGTGACTTGTCTATAGTCACACGACCAGTAAGTATGGGGACTGAAAGCATCTATAGATCATAAATGAAGGCTAGAAAAGATCTCAAAGAACATCTGGTCCAACCGTCTTATTTCACAGAAAAGGAAACTGAGGCCCATCAAGATTAACTGACTTGCAGTCATATGGATACTGAGCATTAGCTGTAGGATTTGAATCTAGACCTTGGGATTCTAGTGCCTTGGCTCTTACCTCCTAAGCTGCCCTCCCATGGACCTAGCTGGAACTTCAACTTCAAGTCTAGAGCTTCTTCTATTACACCTCAGTGTAAAAACTTTTACTATGGGAGGCAATTCTCTTCTCTGAGCCTTTGTTTTCTCATCAATCAATCCATTAATAAGAATTTTTAAGTGCTTACTATAGGACAGGTACTGTGCTAACTCCTGTCGATACACACAGGAAATGAAACAATTCCTGCCTACGAGGGGTTTGTTTTCCTGCTGTCATCTGTCTTACCCATTTTTTTTTTCTTTTTGGTGAGGCAATCAGGGTTAAGTGACTTGTCCAGGGTCCCACAGCTAGTAAGTATTAAGTGCCTGAGGCTGGATTTGAACTCAGGTCCTCCTGAATCCAGGGCCAGTGCTCTATCCACCTAGCTGTCCCAGTCCCATTTTTAAAAATGGTGGTGATCATATTTGACCTATTTACATACTTCTTATGAGGAAAGTGCTTTGTAAATCTTAAAAACCATAGAAATGTGATTATAGTTTTTGTAATGATACATTTCAAGCTCCAAGTGTCCAATTCCTCTTTTTTTTTTCTTCTTGGAAACACTGACCTCTCTTTGGAACTGGCCTCATTGCACAAATGAGGAAATGAAGGCCCAAAAGACACAATGACTTGCTCAAGGTCACAGAGCAAGTTAATGACAGTGCAGCTGTAAAGGGTTTTAAATTCTTCCTCTAAGGCTCACTTCCTGTGTGACCTTGTGCAAATCATTTTCCCTTCCTAGGCCTCAGTTTTCCTATCCACAAAATGGAGGCTGGGGGTGGGCTAGGTGACCTCTGAGTTCCCTCCCAGATTTGGATCTGTGATGCCGAGATCTTTGCAGCAAAGGAAGCAGCTGCATTACTGGTGCAGTGCTCTCTAGCAGCCCGAAGAGTGGATACGGGGACCAAACTGGAAAGAACTTTCCTCTGGAGAGGAGAAGGGGATTCAGGAAAGTAGAATGACAAGGCCAGAGGGAAGAAGGAGGGGGGACTGAAGGGAAGGAACGCAGGTTGATCAAAGCACCAGATACAATTGTGACCTTCCGGACTCCAGGCCAGGGCTATGTCTTCTCTGACCCTTCCCAGCCCCAACTCTTATCGGGAATGGTGGCCAAAGCAAGTTTAAATAACCAGGTTAAACTGAGTTTGAGCATAGAGCAGGGAACCTCCCCTTTGTTCATTAGCTGAGTCCGGCTACTGGGTCTCATTTCTAAGTCTGCCTGTCTTCCGGTCACCCACTTCACTCCCTTACTCTCCTGCTTTAACCTCACTCCATCTCTCAGGCTCCCTCCACCCCACATCCTCACACAAATGTACACTCCTCTCTCCCTTAGAACCTCCTTCCCTTTCCTCTCAGACACAAACACACACAATCCCTCAGCTTAGTCTTTCTTTCCTCTCTTTCTTTCTCACATACTCCTCCACCTCTGAAACCCTCTCATATGCTCTCATACACACATACTCTCCTATCTCAGTCTTCTCTCCCTCTTCCTTATACACACTTCTCAGTTCTCTCTCTCTCTCTCTTTCTCTCTCTCTCTCTCTCTCTCACACACACACATACACACACAGAGACATACACACAGATATAGAGCTTGTGTCTTTCTCATGCATAAGCACACTGTCTGTCTCTCACACACACACACACTCATACACACACTCCTATCTCTCTTACATATATTTCTGTCTCTATATTATTTCATAGATGGTCCTAATCAATACTCTGGTTCCAAGAGGGAATTACTAATTTATTTTTCATATTGCATAAAAATCAGACATCCTCTCATGAGGTCTTATAAGCACTGCTCTTCTTTTCCAGGGGTATTTTTTTTCTTTTAATCTGAGGAAGTCTTGTATGTGGAAACTCCCTGGTTTATAACTTACAGTTGTGAGAATTGCCTGGGCTACTAAGAAGTCAAGTGACTTACTTGCCCCTGGTCACACAGTTTGTCTTTGTCAGAAGCAGGACTCTAAATTGAGTTTTTCTGGATCCAAGGCTAACCTTCCATCCACTAGCCCATGCTAGTACTATCATTGGAAACACCTTTAAGGTTAGCAAAATGCTGTAATACAAAGTCTCATTTAACCTGCATGACAATCCTTTGAGGTGGGCACTCCAGGCTCCCTCCCCCCCATTTTAGTCATTGATTCAGAGCTAGAAGGAACGTTTGAGGGCATCTAGTTCAACTCCCTTATTATGAAGATGAGGAAATTAAGGCCTGGAGTGGCTAAATCACTTGACAAAGATCACTTATTAGATGCTGTCATAGTCAGGATTCAAATCAGGGCTCCTCTAATTCCAAATCCAGCATATTGTACTGGTTGGGGGTTAACAAGGACATGCCACAAGAAGTCCTCTGGGGATCTCTGGCCAAAGTGGTTCTTGGACCAAAAAGAGATTGAAAGTTTGCCTCTATCCTTCTTTGTATCTTTCCTCTATCTTCATCTCTTTAAGTAACTAATTTATTATTTTTATTTATATCACATGACATATGTAGCACTTTCTGATTTTCAAAGTTTTTACCATTCATTCATTCAAACATCCATTCAGTAAGAGATATATCTGCCCTGGGAAAGTGTACATTCTGGATAGAGAGATAAGAAAACAAAAAGCAAGTACAAATTAGTTGCTCAATTTCTATAAGCCCTGAAGGATTCCCAGATGAAGGGCATGAATGAAGTAGAGTCAAATTGGGAAGGCACCTTGGAAAAGGTGACTCAGGTCTTCCAGGAAATGAAGGATGGTGATTGAAGTGAAGGTGAAAGGCAGCAGGGGTAGCAAAGAGGTCAGGGGCCTGTGGAAGGTAGAAGGGGGCACTGAGGGGCAGGGGCAAAGAGGCCAAAAACACAAGTAGGATCAGCTGGTGGCAGAAAGACCAGCATCCAGAGGTGGATGAAGGGGTGTGGCAGGGATGCCACAGTGTTCTTGGGGAGATGGAGAGTGGTAGTGACAAGGGAGGCCAGGAAGCCAGGGGAGATGAGGAGGAAGAGATTTTGAATGAGGGATTTGAGGGAACTGAGCTCAGAGAGGAATGAGCAATCTTGGAATGGGGATGGGGTGAGCAACAGACATGCTTTTGTGGAGACAGAGTGCTGGGGGAAGGGAGAGAACAGGCCATGGGACAGGGAATGGGATCAATTCAGGGAGATTCCAGCCGGAGAAATATTTTGAGGAAAACCCTGGGGAGAAGGGTCCTAGGTCCCAGGGGGAGAGGGTCAGAAACATTTGGAGTTCAGTGAACAAGAGGATCCGGTCCTCTCAGACTCCAGTACCTCCTCAGCTCTGGCAGCTTCTTAGGCTCAACACGAGATTTAATATATGCTCCATTTAGACCCTACACACAGAAGGTTTCTGAGGCTTTGCAGATCAAGAATTTTCCTGAAGGGGTTAGCTTCCTGATCACCACAGCAAGCTCCCCCTTATGTGCTCTCTGCCAGTCTTGCTACCCTACCCCTGCTCCTCCCCTCACCCCACACCTATGGTCTTGGGCTTTCCATTTTGAAGCTTGTGGTAGGGTCCCAGGGGCACTAGGGGTAAAGGACAGGCAGAGAAAGCTGGAGAAGGGAGAGGTAGGGAATGGGGGTTGGGGCCCAGAGGGTCCTAGATGAAAGAGGCACGGGAATGGGAGAGAGATGGGGCAAAGGAGCATCGAAGAAGGGGAATACTTACCTCGGGGTGTCCTGCTGGCTCCAGAGCCTCCTCGAGGAGATTCGCAGCTACTGTTGGCACTGCTGTTAGCACTGCTGTTGGGGGACAGGGGACCCGGGCCGCACTGGGACTCTGGCTCCAGCGCGCTCCGATTCAGCCCCAGCAGCTCCATGGCCCCAGGGTAGAGGTGGGCCTGGGACAAGACCCCCTGCTGACCGGGAATTCAGGGGGCCGCTTCCCACCGGTTCCACCTGCTTTCGCGTCGATCGCTTCTGTGCCCCTGAACTGGCCCGTCTGATGTGTGTGTCCGCTCCGCCCTCTGTCTCGGGTCGGCACCTTGCGCACCCACGCGGATTTCTCCCCCTCTCTCCTTCCGTCCCTCTGTCCCTCTCTTTGCGCGTGCCTCTCCTCCCGTTTCTCTACCCCTGGGTCTCTCCTTGACTCCCGGCAAATCTTTCCCCTCGGGTTTCTCCCTGTGTCCTACTATACCCTGTGTCTTTCTGCCTCCGCTCCCCCAAACCCCTAAAATCTCCCTCTCGCTTTCCAGGGGACTCCCAGCTTCGTTCCCCCCGCAGCGGGATCTGCTGCTGCTGGGGCTGGGGTGGCCTGGGGAGCCCCGCCCCTCTCCTCCAGAGCTAAGCCTAGCTGGGGTCCCGCCCCCCTCTCTGCAGCGCTGCCGCTCGGCCTGGGGGGGTGGGCGTTGGGGGATGGGGGGGTGCTCTTTACCGCTGTTCCAGCCCGAGTTTCTGGAGGGAGTCAGGCCTGGGGCTGTAGTTGCCACTGCGGATGGGGGCGGGGGAGGCAACGAAGGGGTGGTAAGAGACAAGATCCGATGTTTTATTGTACTGTACTTTAGCTATGCTACCGTATTGACCTATGGGGCACCAAAATATAGAGTGGGACATTCGTGGGTCATGTTCCATTTGGGGACAGGTGTGAGGTGTGGACTGGGGGCAGGGAAGGTTCACAGTCTTTCAATTAGAATCCTCTGTCCCAGCAAACCCCTCTTATAACTCTGGGCTGTCCCCAGTAGTACCCCTATGGGCACAATGATATCCCAAGTCCCAATAATAGCTTGACTCCAAAGACATTTGACTCAATGACAGCCTCCAATGATACCTCTGGACTCAGTGATACCTTGGCCCCAGTGTCATAACCAGTCATATTTCTGATCCCAGTAATACTACAGCCACAGTAACAGGCCAGGCCCCAGTGTCAGCCCAGGTCACAATGACGCTCCAACTCGAATAGCCCTTGACAGTTACTCTCAAATATTCTTCATCAGGGGACAGACTTCAGAGAGCTGAGATGTAGTAAGGACTCTGACCTTAGGAAGGACTCCGACTGGTGGAAATTTCCCAGGGGCAGAGTACCAGTAAAAGAGGAATCCCTAGCTCCCTTTGGCACCTGGTAGCGCCAGCGCTGCCACTACCACCTCTCTGCTCCGTCTGTTTGCTCTTGGGAGCAGGTGGAGATATAGATAACCAGCTTAAGCTTCCCATGGGGGGGGAGGGGAGGGCAGAGGATAGGAGGATAAAGTGGGGCAAAGTGGGTTGGGGGTGGAGGTGATGGGTGAAGGGAGGAGAGGATGGTGATCCCCAGCACTCATCCCATCTCCTCTAGCATCACAGGACCCATCCTGGGCTTGTTCAGAGTCCTCAATAAGAATGGGTAAGCTATCTTGAGAGACATCAGATCCTAGGAACTGAGGGGAGAAGAGCTGCATTGATGAGGAAAATAGGAGGGGGTGCCAAAGGGATGGAGGTGCTTGCCAGGTTCTTGGCCTCCAGCCCTACCTGTGAGGGCATCTCCCCCTCCCAACCCTCCCTTTAGTCTCATCTATCATCTCCTTGGCTCCAGGGATACTATGTCCTCCCATCCCTCCACCCCCATCTTCCAGAGAAAAAAGCCCATTAGTGTCCCTTCCCCTATGATTGATAGCCCCCAAAGGCTGAGGATTGATGGGACTTGAAGGGATGGGCAGGGTAGGAGGGAAGAAGGCCAGGAATGGGAGGATGGGAGCAATTTAGAGACTTCCAATTCCAGGGAAGGAAACTTGTGACCCAGGTATGTTGCAGCAGGGAAGAGCAGGAAGTGAAGAGAGAGCTGGGATACAACTGGGAGGGCACCTGCTATGTGGGAAGGGTGCCCACCTCACTCTCACTCCATGTCCTAGGCCTAGACAGTCTCCTGACACTGCTACCTCACTCAGCTCTGCCAACGCTCAGATCCTAGGGCCTGCAGCCCTATTTGTTCTAGCTAGATTCCCAGGTGGAAACACTGATAACCAGCTGGTATTTTCCCACTGAGAAGGGGGAAGGGCGAATGAAATTGGAAGAAGACAGATTGAGGAACCTGGGAATATGGGACAGAGCTCAAGGGACTAGGAAGGAACAGAAATGAAGGAGACTAGGGTGGTGGTGCGGGGGGAATGAAACAGAGATGGGAATAATTGGGGGGGGCATGAAGATTGAGAAGAGAGACAGAGAGAGAGAAAACAAGAGTTAGAAATTTAGAGTTTAGAGACAAGAAATGATGGAACCCCTAAGTCATAGCATAGCATGAGGATCAATTCAATTCAGTCTACCAATTTATTGTGAACTCTATGCAAAGTAGAGTGCCCCAGGCACTAGAGGTTTAATAACACACAACAGTCTCTCCTCTTAAGGAGCTTACATTTTAAGAGGGAGATCTGACATGTACGTAGATAGGTAAACATAATGTAATATGAGGAATGATAGAGCCAGGTAAAGGAATACTTCACTAAGAAAGAGGCACCTGAACTGAGACTTGGAAAAAAGATAAAGTACCTTAAAGACAGAGGTGAGATGGGAGGCTATTCTGGGCATCAGGTACAGCTTGCAATAATATACAGATATAAATCGGGTATTTGGGGTATTTAAGGAGTAGTAGCATCTTTGGTGTGAGGACTTGCTGAACCCTTTTCAGGGCTGCTCATCCACCTTTGGTGTCCATCTGACACTTGACTCTCACCTGTGGCTCCAAGAAGCTATAGCATGCTGGTGGCCACACCCTGGTAAAACTGTCTCAGAAGATAGGCTAAACCAGGTTTTGAGGATAATCAACAGGCCTCAGACCTGTTGGTGAGTTAGGGGTGTCTATCCCAAGCATGTGAAGACTTTCCCTGGTGGAATGGGCAGATAAGAACAATTTGTTCCGATGACCATGAAGGTGGCTAAAGCAGGTGCTGTGGAGAGTTTAGAGCTTGGTCAGACATGGAAGGTGCCAAGGTCATCCACTGCATCCTGGGCTATCACCAGTCGTCCTGACTTTTGTCTTGCCACTGGACTCCTTTGACTCTGGAAGGGAGAGTGGAGCTGATGACGTTGTATAACTCTACCTCACTTAAATCCAATTCTTGCACAAGTCAAGACATCACCCCATAATGTCATCGGTCCTCTTCAAAAATGAAGGATAAACAACAGATACAGATGATGGAATTAGAGTGCCTGCAGGCAACCTTTGCTTGCATGTGGCTTACTCCAGACAAAATACTTCAAGTTAAGGGACTCTCTCTAAATTCACACAATGAATGAGCCCCCTTACTGTATTTACTTTCACTAGTCAGCCAGAGGAAACACTTAATTCAAAGCAAAGGCATTTAATGAAATAACACCTGAAGATAAGTAGTAATAGAACATTTCCCCCATAAATGTAGAGCATACACAAACATGTACTCTTGGTGGGAAGAGTGGACATACCCAGGACAGTTGTATGGAGAGGGCACACTCATGGAAAGGCTTCTGATGTGTCCATATTGCCAGTGTCTTCTGGTGACGTCATCAACCTGCTTCCACTGGGTCTGCTTTACAAATTGATTTTGTATGTCTCTCTCTGTTCAGTGGTACGCCATTGGGCATGTGGTTACTGCTAGGTACTGTTGTACTACTTCTTTCCCTTAAGAGGGAAAGTAGATACTGTCTCTTTTAGCTTACAGCCCAGATGATAGGAGGGCATCAAGGCCCTTCATACACCTCATATAGATTATAGAAAAAACTCTCAGTTGCCTCTTCTCCAACAGGATCCACCAAATCTTGGAGTCTGAGTTGTGCATAGCTTTTTTCTGCAGAAGGAAAATCTTTATTTCTAGAGCCCAAGTTCTTTTGGAACACAGAACAGCCAGACGGCTAAGTTACAACTACAGGTACTTGAAAATTCTGCATCTAGAATCCACTGGCCCAGGAAACTATCTGACTTGGGGTTAGAAATTCTTTGTACCTCCTGCTTAAGTCCTTCTGGAGATACTGTGCCTTCAAATGCCATTTTTGGGTGGGAGAACCTTGCCAAGAAATTTCACAAGAGACAGGTAGGTCTCAGGCACAGTAATTTTGCCAACCACACAAGGTCCTTTAGGTTTCCCATGCAAGTGAAGGGGAGAAGGAGAGGGAAAGGACAAGAACAAAAAAGCCTAGGTAGAGCAGTATTGTGAAGAGGTATTGCCCTCAGCTCTGTGTGTGTGGGTGTATCCAGAAACAAACCTTCTAGCCTTTGAGCCTTCCCATAGAATTCTGAGTTTGAAGAACAGCTAGCAGTCTAGTTTAGGGAAAGGAACAAGCATTTATTAATTGCCTACTATGTACCAGACACTGTGCTAAGTATTTTACAAATATCTCATTTGGCTAGAATGTAGAATTATTAAGGTGAGTAAAATGAAATATGGCTGGAAAGGAGGCAAGTAATATGAAATACAGCTGGAAAGGTAGATTGGAGCCAGATTTGGCCTCCCTGGGTCCTAACTTCTGTTGGTTAGAATTATGACATGTCCTGCTATGGCCCCTCAAGAGATCATAGAATCATTTATATGCCCCTAAGGCTGCTCTCACTTTCTTTGTGATCACTATTTCAAATGACCTTCTTAGGCTTTGGTTGGAGTCATTATTATATCTTACAGGTCTGAATGCACATATGAAGCCCTGGTACTGCAAACCCTAAGATAGGAAGAAGGAAATAAGCATTTATTAAGTGCCTGCTATATGCCAGGCACTGTTAAGCACTTTACAAATATCTCATTTGATCCTTGCAATAACCCTGGGAGGAAGGCACTATTAGTATCCCCATTTTACAGTTGAGGAAATTGAGGTTAAGTGATTTGCCCAAGGTCACATAGCTAGTAAGTATCTGAGGAAGGATATGAATTCAGGTCTTCCTGAC